AAGGGGAAGTCTAGGGGCAAGCCTGGGAGCAAAGGGAAAGGTAAGCCCCCCCAGCCGAACAATCAGGCGTCCAGGGGCGGTAACAAGCAGGCGGCCACCGATCCGAAAGGGAACCAGTTCTGTAACAACTGGATGCGCGGGCGCTGCCCGGGCAACTGCGGACGCACCCACAAGTGCAACCTCATCCTGGCAACGGGCCGCATCTGCCTGGGAGACCACCTCCCGCAGGACTGCCCGGGTTGACTAGGGGCGCTGACCCCGACCCCCCGGGAGGCCTCAGGTGCCGAGGGCCCTGATAAGGCCCGGGGGGGCGAGAGGGGGCGCAAACGCCCCAAGCAGGCACATGAGCCCCCTCCTGCAGGTGCCGAGGGCCCTGACACAGGGGGGGGACAGGCCAGGTGGCGGCCATCCTCGGCGGAACAAGGATGGGGACGGCAGAACCAGCGTGCACAACACCCTCGCTGGGGTCAGAACAACCACACAGCTGGCACAACGGCGGCGCCTCAGCCCCGTGCCACGGGTGCCGAGGGCCCTGAAACGGCAGGGACGGGACGGTTCCCCGCAGGTGCCAAGGGCCCTGACACGGGGGGCCGCGCCCAGCAGGCCCGATTGCCGGATAACTGGCAGCACACCGCAACGCCAAGGATCACGCCCAGGAGGCAGCCGATCCCACTTCCGGCGCCCAACATCATCAAGCAGGACCCGGTGGTTTTTCATAAGAGCTCGGTTGGGCTGAATGAAGGGGGCCAGCGCCTTTCAGCTACCCCCCTGACAAGTCCCACGGAGCCGTCGCCGGGATGGGACATCTTCCCGTGGATGGAGAACATCCCGGAGCGTTTGGTACAGCGGCTGAGATGGACACAGGGCACATCACCCAAAGTTCCATCCAGTGGTCCCATTATTGTCCTGCTCTATGCAGGCAAGGAAGACCCAACTTCCTTGGACAGCTGTCTTCATGCCAACTACCCACACCTTTCCAGCATGGTGGTGGCGGTAGACATCCTACGATCGGGACCAAAAGGGACCACGACATGCTCCAACCCGAGCTATATGGAGCTCTCTGCACGGCAGCAAAGCAGGGCCGAGTGGTCTTCATTGGAGGAGGACCCAACTGCAGGACATGGTCCATCCTGCGCCACATACCAAAACCGGGGGCCCCCACCCCGGTGCGAGGGCGCACTCGAGAGACACTTTGGGGCCTCCCACACCTGGACCAGGCCGCCCAGACTCAGCTTGATGATGACAGTATCCTCATTTTGAGGCAGATGTACATCACCAGCCTGGCAAGGGCCTCAAGAGCGGCGGTTTCTCTGCCAGGGCCAAAGTCCTTCTTGGAGCACCCGGAGGACCCAGTGGTGAGCAGCTCGCTGCCCAAAGCCAAGGAATGCTCATCCTTCTGGATCACGGAGGAGGGGCAGCTTTGGATGGAGGCAAACTCCTTGACAGCAATCTCCTTCGACCAGTGCCGCCTGGGCCAGCTGGTCAAGAAGGCCACTACGCTAGCCACGGATCTCCCAATTCAGGATTGGGATCAAATGCGGTGCACGCATCAGTCACATGTGGGCACCAACGAGTCCTCGACTCTTAGCAGATACCCTTGGGATATGATGGCAGGCCTGGCCAAAGCCATCGCTGTGTCACTCGCAGCGCCGGGGCACATCCGGATCCCCTCACAATTCCCGGGAAACCCTAAGGAACCACCTAAGGGGCGGGGGTCGGACCCCCCGGAGGGCCCTTCCCCCCGGGGAAAACGGGGACCCAATCAGGGAGGCGGTCCCTCCTCATCACACCAGGGCCCAAAGCCCGGAGGCAAGAATGCCCCGAAGCCCCGCCAGCACGGGCACATCCACCTTGAGGCAGACACCGTAAGCCCTCGTGGAACAATGAACCCAGACTTCCCATCTCCCATGCCCCCGATGGCCGGAGATGCGGAACAACTGGGGAAGGAAGAACATGGGGACCAGGTCCTGGACCGCCCCGAATGCCTGCCCGCTTTCAGGGTCCCACGCCTCATTGACCGAGTTGCGATTGTCCAATTGGGTTTCCGCTCACGCCCCCTGAGGGATGGGGGGGGGAAACCTTCCCCGGGGAGGCTCAACCCCCCCTTTCGGAGAATTTCCCCTTTGGCTACTTTGGGCGCCCTGATCATGACCCTTACCCGGCCCTGGATTGACAAGGTCCGAATGTCCCTGGCATCAGGTGCCACCACACACCCCTTCCAGGAAGCCGACCTCGATGAGCTGCGGGCTATCCTGGGACCTAGGCACCTCCATGAACGATGCCCAGGGCAACCCTTCCTCCTGGACCTAGTTTCGCACTTGGCATCCCTTTCAGGTGACCCTGATTGGGAGTTCCCCCTGACACTGAAAGAGGGGGTCCCCTTGGGAGTCTCGGACCCTACCTTGACCTCCCCCGGAGTTTGGCCGACTAAGGAGGAGCTTAAGGGAGAAGCCTGGCTGGGGGAAGACCCCCCCCCGCCGGTGGCCCATGATAACTACCCAACGGCTGAACTCTTTGCCAGTGAAATCGAGGCAACCTTTTACGAGGAACGAGCCTTGGACATGGTGGACGGGCCCTTCACCCGGTCGGAGGCGGCAGAGAGGTGCCGCTGCAAACCGGAGGAACTTTGCCCGGGCCCCCTTGCGGGGATTGATGAGTCAGACAAGATCAGGACGATCTACGATGGCTCGAAAGGGGGAGCAAACGCACACATCCAGGCTCATACGGGGGAGAAGACCACTGCACCGATGGTTGGAGACTGCCTCCACGCCATCCACTGGCTCAGGACAGCGACGGACCATCCCCATCTACTTCGAGCCACGCTCTCGAGCACTGAGGAGAGACCTCGGGATGTTCACCAGCCGGTGCAGGGGCAGTCCCCAGGTGCCGAGGGCCCTGAGAGGGACCCCCACAGCACCAGCCTGCCCCCAGGTATGAGGGCCTGATCGGGGCAGGGGGATGATGGATACCTCCGGCGGCCTGAACTCTCTGGGGTCGACACCCTCAGGGAAGGGACCACTCCCAGGTGCCGAGGGCCCTGATAGGAGGGCCCCCTTCCCCCCAACCCCCCCGGGCACGGAACGCCCTGGGGGGATCAGGGGGGAACCCCTGATGTGGCAGCCGCCGACACAGGGGGAAACCTTCATCATCCTCAAGGCGGATGTCACCAAGGCCCACAGGCGTATAAAAGTGCTCCCGAAAGACTGGAAATACCAGGTGGCCTGCATCCAAAACCGGTGGTGGGTCAACAGAGTGGGCACGTACGGCATGGCCTCGGCACAACTGTACTGGGGAAGAAAGGCATCCTTGGTGCTCAGACTCTTGTACTACATCTTCCCTCAGGTGGACTGGCACTTAGTCTTTGTGGACGACTACTGCTGGGTCCTCAGATGCAGCCGGGCGGACTGGGACGCCACAGCCATCCTGGCTACACTGCTGGCGCTGGGAGTCCCGCTTTCCTGGAAAAAGACGGCGCTCTCCCCGATCAATACCTGGTTGGGCTTTGTGGTGGACCCAATCACGCCCTGTGTACTGTTGGCTCCAGTCAAACACGTCATAATCCTGGCCACTCTTAAACGGCTGGCCCAGGGGGACATCTTCACCACCAAAAGGTGGAACAAGCCCTAGGCCGTATTCAATGGGCTACTTCGGCATGCCCATTGACGAAACCTTTCCTCCAGCCCTTTTGGAGCTGGAAGAAGGCCTGCACCACTTCGGGCAGGCCACCGAAGCTGGTTCGTGCTCTGGCCATCCTCTTGGGGAGACTCTTCAACCAGAGGTTCCCACTGGCATCTCCGTTTGCTCCCACACTCCCATGGACGGGGGCATCTGATGCGGGAGCTGGCAGACAGGCAGACCATGCATGGGTTGGTGGTTGGTGCTCGGACGTGCCCAACCCCGACAAGTCCCGTGTGAAGTGGTTCCAGCACAGAATCACACCGGAGGGCGAGCCGTGGGCCTTCACTACTGGGGACCCGCAGCGGGCGATAGCGGCCTTGGAGCTCTTCGGCCTCCTCCTTTTGGTGAGGGCCGTTCTGCTTTGTGCAGCCGGCTCGGTTTCTCACACTAGGATCCTGGTTGCTAGTGATAACCAGGGAAATGTTTTCTCCCTTCTTAACGATTCCACTCGCAGGATGCCCAATGCGGCCATCCTCATGGAAATTGTGCTAACGCTGCATGACCAGCAGGTCATGTTGGGGCCGTCGCATGTGAAGCGCGACTTTAACACGTGGGCGGATGAACTTACTCATCCGGACCCGCAATTTCCGACTGAGAACCGGGTCTTCCCCTCAGTCGAAAGCGAATTGATCACACTGATCTTCGCTACTTTCCTTCCTCACCCATGATGCCGGGAGGGCATCCGGTGAGGTGGGAGGATTCCTCCCTCGCTGTGGGAGTGGCATCAATCCTACTCCCATCAGCTGCTGAGGGGAGCTGCCCAGTGGAGCTGGGCAATCCTCCCATTTTGGCACTAACCCTTATACGGCAAAAAGGAGGCACCGTTTTGCGAATAAGGCCTCAGTAGCACCAGAGTGGTGCTTTGAAGAGTCTTGAGTAGCTTTTTTTGCCTTGCTTTTTTGGAGATGACGGATGATAGCTTCCATTTCGGAACCATCCTCCGCAGAAAAGCCTGAGACTTAGACTGAGCATGGATGCATTGTCCAGCGACATTCTGAACCCGTTCCATAAGACTCTGACATTTCACCGATTCGGTTCCTGTCAACGTACGCTTTTCGCTTTAAAGCCCCACATTGGACGGCAGAAGCTTGAACCGCGGCACATCCGCGGGTTTGGAAAGCGTTTTTGTGGAATGCCTCTCACCAGGCTGTGGGTCAAAACCAATGGTACCGATTCGGGGTAGGTGAATTCACCCTCCATTTCAGAACCCATTTTAGTGGTTGGATTGGGATGTTCACTGGGGGCTAGCCGATTTGGATTTTGACCCATGGCCACCTTGTCAAATCCCTTAGCTCAATGCCTTGCGTGTGGGGCCTAGCAAGGCCAGAGCTCCGCTGCCTGGTGATGCGCGGGGCCTCGGCGAAAATTCCGCTGCAGGACCCCAAAAGGCCAGTGGCCCGATGAAGTCCGACATGGTCTTGGCGAGTCTCTGTTGCCCAACTCAACCAACCAGAAAAGGATGCCGCCTATGGGTATTTGAGTAGTAGCGCCTCTAATTCGGTGTAATAGAGTGCTTTTGGCCACCTTTTTGAGGGATTTCCACAATGATAGTGATTGGAAGGCTCCTCACAAGCATTGTAGCACGACAAGTTCGATGCGGGGTGCAGGAACATTCACCCAATCATCCTTTTGTTCTCTTTTAGGATGGTTTTTCCTGTGACATCTACCAAACAAGTGAGCAATTTGTTTCTCATGGCCACTGGGCAAGTATGATCGCCACTTCAAACCATTCCCTGCCTGTAGGTAGGTTCCATTCTGACCTGTGTCTTGCATATTCCTAGCGAGCATTTTTCGGATGTGGGACATGTACTAGGTTGCATAGTCCTTGCATATGTCTGGCCCCTGCTGCATAGCTATGATGTTTGGTTCAGCCTTACTATAAGGCTAGCGATCTCACATGTCTAACCGATGCCTAGCTGTAGCAAAGGGTCATCAGGTCTCCCCGAAGGTGGACTTCAGATCTCCTCGGGTAAGTTTGAATAGCTCGAGAAGAGAAATATATTATGGATGGTGTTTACGTTATCTTCATTCTAATGGTGCATCATTTGTCTTTCTTTTTATATTTCTACATCTTGGAAGAGCTATATCTTATGCTTCATATTTTTATAATCCTAATACTTGGTTTTCTGGAACTATTATTTACTTCTTCTTAATGGGAACAGCATTTATGGGTTATGTGTTACCGAATGATCAAATGAGTTTATGGGGAGTTACAGTAATAACAAATTTATTATCTCCCATTCCATCTTTAATAGAATGGCTTTGTGGAGGACATTATGTTTACAATCCAACATTGAAGAGGTTCTTTGTCTTTCATTTTCTATTTCCATTTCTTCTTTGTGGTTTTCTCCTTTATCATATTTTTAATCTACATTTTCTATCTTCTGATAATCCTAACAGGAATTCCACTAATAATAAAATAGCATTTGTTCCTTTCATTATTAGTAAATATATCTATGGAAAGATATTAATTCTCAATCTATATCTTCTTCAAATTACCTCCGGGTTATCTTCTTTCTCACATCCAGATAATGCATTAGAAGCATGTGGATTACTAACTCCTTTACATATAGTACCTGAATGGTATTTCTTATGCCAACATGCTATGTTAAAAGCTGTGCCAAATAAAAATGCAGGATTCATTATCTTATTTACTTCTATCTTCATCTTATTTTAATTTATGAGAAGTCTCTCTTTTTCATTCTATTTTATAATATTTACATCTAGTAGATTTAATGGTTTTTATCTGTGCTTTTGGTTTCTGAATATTTTTCTTTTATTTGGATAGGTGGTCAATTTCCTGTAGACAACTTTCTATCTTATGGTCGTATCTTGACATGTAATTATTATTATCTTCTTATCTGTATCTGATTGTCTTTTTATTTGGATTTCTTTTATTATTTTGGATGTGTTTGGAGATGAAAGTAAATGAGATAAGATGGCATCATATTGTATCTCTTCATCTCTTAATTTGGAAAAGATGCCATCATTTTGTATTTCTTGTGTCATTTTTATAATAATTCAAGCTTGTTTATTTCTTATCTTTTTCTTTTGCCTTTTTTCATTATTGTTGGTTTATTTTTAAGATTTTAATAATTGCAGGGAATGGTGATGAAGAACTCCTAAGATGAAGATATAAATAAATAACCAAAAAGAAAGGTAAAGAAGAAACCAATTAAACACATTAACATCTCCAAATTGAGGAAGTAGATATGAAGAAAGCAAAATGACATCATAAATCTTCTATCATCAACTTTTCATTCATAATGTAATGCTTTTTGGTTAGGATGTATAATTACAGTAAAGAAAGACCACCAATGATAAATCCTGGAAGTTGGGGAGGTGATGAGGAAGAGAAAAGATGATGTGATTCCCAACATGAAACGGTCTCAAATACAAATCTATTATTTTATGGAACTATTTTATTTGGCTTTGCCGTGTAATTCTTCTCTCTGAGACACGACATGGAAAGATGGGATGGTGAACAACATGAAAGAGAAAAGGAAAGTGTATTAGCTATCCCATATCTCTCTATCCTGATATTTGGATTTTTAGTTGGCTTTATGGTTGGGTTTGGGAATGTTGACAGTGAAAAGAGGCTCTGGGATTTGAAGGAAGAGGCGATCCAAATTCCAGGATTTTATGATGGACAACTTTCATTCCCAAACCAAGAGATCCAGATAATGAAAGAAGATGCAAATTAATTAAAGAAAACCAAGTATTAATAAAAGAGAAATAGATGTGTGAAGGATATAGAGATGATAATGGATTAGGAATTAATGCATCACGTTCCATTCCTTTCTCTTTTCTTTTACTTTCTCTCTCTTCTTCATCCTCAATTCCCAATTTTCAAGTTGTAACAGTTAGGAAAGATGGGTCTCAGAGAATAGTATCTTTGTAGGTGTAATTCCCTCCGCTGTGAGACCCTTCTTTCCGGGTTATGTTATTTCTCTTTTGGAAGTTGATATTAAGATCTTATATTAGTCCTCATCTAGAAGTAATTAATATCTTACCAAAATAGAATTACAATAATAAAATAGCTTTTCTGTAAGGACAATTTCATTCTAGTATATTATTATTGTTTTTTAGTTGTTTATTTTGTATTGTTGATGTTCTTTTTTTCATTATAGCTCTATCTTATTTTTATATTACTTGTCTTTATTGTTTATTTTATATTGTTTGTTTATATTTATTTTCATATGTCTTATCATTTCTTTATCATATTATTTTCCTATATTTGTTTTATTATTTATTTTGTTTGGTTAGTAATATGAAAACTATTTTATAGAAATCTTATGGTTAATTTATCTTTCTAGTCTTTTATTATTTATTATTTACCTTTCTATTTCTAAGATATAATCCTTTAAGATAAGCCACAAAGGGAAGAATCCAGAGGCAACCGCTCCCTTCGGTCTCTTCCTTAACCATCAATCTCAGAGATGAACCGCTATTACAGAAAGGTTCATCACATCATATCTCATTTCCTTCGCCAACCTCCAGAATCCTTTTCCTGTCTATCATTCCCGTAAACCTAACCAAATCCCAGATTAAGAGATAAGATAAGCCACAAAGGGAAGCAGCCCACCATTCAGAATCCATTCCTTCGTGTCATTTGTTAGTCCCTGAAAGCCAAGAATCACCTACTATCTACTTCCGGATGAACCGCTATTACAGAAAGGTTCATCACAGCATATCTCATTTCCTTCGCCAACCTCCAGAATCCTTTTCCTGTCTATCATTCCCGTAAACCTAGCCAAATCCCAGATTAAGAGAAGTGGAAGAGAGAAGCCTTCCTCCGTCAGCCATTAGAATCTCTGGACAGGACCTCCAACTCATGAACGAAGAGAGAGAGGAGGTAGAGGTCAAGGATTTTACAGATAACCGTCTATAACCAAAAATTCTTGACCATTGACTGCCAAGGAAGACACTGCACCGTTAACCACCTCCTCACTACCCCAACTCTCTTTCCTGTCGTTACCTCCCTCCTCTTCCTTCATCTCCCTTCCGTCGATTCCAGGCGAGACAGAGGAGCCGGAAAGAGAGGAAGGGTAGGGAAGGAACAGGAGGTGGCGGTTCTCTTTCACCCCACCGCTCACTCACTTATATCTTGTCTTTTTCATTTTATAGAAATCTTATGGTTATTTATCTTTCTAGTCTTTTATTACTTATTATTTACCTTTCTATTTCTAAGATAAGATGCTACATCAAGGATTATACAGATAACCGTCTATATTAGAAAAGCCTGAAAGGAAAGGCTATTTTCATTACACCGCTTCATTCCTCATCTCTTCCTCAGAGCGGTTAACCTACACATGTCCTTTCCCTTCGTCAAGGATTTTACAGATAACCGTCTATAACCAAGAATTCTTGACCAGAAGCCGCTAATAAAGACAAATCCAGAGGCCACCGCTCCCTTCGGTCTCTTCTTCAGAATCCATTCCTTCGTGTCATCTGTTAGTCCTTGAGTCACCACGCCTTCCTCCGTCAGCCATTAGAATCTCTGGACAGGACCCCCAACTCACGAACGAAGGGAGAGAGGAGGTAGAGGTCAAGGATTTTACAGCTTTCTCTTTCTTTATTTTTTTTTATATTGTTTGTTTATATTTTCTTTTACTATTCATTCATATTATTTTCCTATCTTTTTATTATTTATTGTAAACTTTAGAATGCTCGTGAACAAAGGGAAAAGGAACCACACGAGGAAGAAATCATCCAAGAAGCATTCTATTCCCAGTCCTTCCTATGTCAGGCCTGTTTACCATTCAGAATCCATTCCTTCGTGTCATCTGGATTCTTCATTCTAATTCTCCCGTTCATCGACAGTGAGGAGATAGGGAGAAGAGATGAAGAAAGATGGCACTCACCACACAGCCAGTTTCCTCCAATCAGGGGCTGTCCCCAACTAACCCTCTCTTCCTTACCTCTCTCGCCCGAACGAAGAGAGCAAGAGAGTGGACATGATGCCGGCTTTCCCTGTCCAGCCGGTGGGTCTCTTCCTTCATCTCATGGACACTTCCGAACGAAGAGAGGAGTGGGAATAAGGACTGACATGAAAGAATCCTAACAGCAACCATTCCTTGCCTAACAGCGAACGAAGGGAGCCAGGTCAAGGATTTTACAGATAACCACCCCACCTCCCTGTCCAGCCGGTGGGTCTCTTCCTTCATCTCATGGACACTCCCGAACGAAGAGAGGAAGAGAGTGGACATGATGCCGGCTTTCCCTGTCCAGCCGGTGGTAAGCGATAGAAGAGAGCAGACGAGATGAAGGTTGGTCTACAGGAAATCCCTCCCTTTCATCTCTATAATAATAGTGCTTTTATTATTTATTGTAAACTTTAGAATCTTGGAAATGCCCCTTCCTTCCGTCTACCTCCTCCGGCCTCTTGACCATTGACTGCCAAGGAAGAAATCATATCACTTCCCCACGCCTTCCTTTAGAATCTCTGGACAGGACCTCCAACTCACGAACGAAGGGAGAGAGGAGGTAGAGGTCAAGGATTTTACAGATAACCTTTTATAACCAAGAATTCTTCCCTCGGGATTTGGAAAGGTGTTGCACGGTTGTAGCTGGAGAACCTGATGTAGTGAGGAAACGAAAGGATAGGAAGGGATCCAGCACACAGTCTATTTCTCTATCTCTCGGTCATATGCTGTCTTCATCAGAATCCTATCATTGACCGCTGACAAATAGACCTCTATCCACTCACTTTCTTCCCACTCATCCCTTCCACTGTCTCTCGGTTTCACCCATCACCAGCTATTTACTTTCATAATCTCAGGAACGAACGGAGTGGGAAGTGAGTGAGATGGAGGAAGTAGGTGGGTGGGAAGGTCTTATGGTGAACGAAGGAAGTGAGTGAATCCTCTTGGCTTATCTCTGAGAGACGGAGCGGAGAGACGGCAGGAAGAGGTAAACCGTCAATGATAGAAGAATTCACGAGAGGTAGATAATGGGAAAAGAATTCTCTATGCCGTACCTCTTCCTAATCCCTGTTCACCTCTATCTCTCTCACACACATTGCCTCGTCTCTAAGACTCACCGGTGAGAGAGGAGGTGAGGGATAGAGATGAGAGGGAATGGGACCAGACAGTAAAGAAGAGGTCCCAGAGCATACAACCAAGAGAAGCGAATGGATGTGAGCGGCTTTCTCTCTTTCACCTTCCTGTCACTCACGGTCTCTCACTCCCTTCCGTCGTAACCGTTCATTCCAGGAATTCTCAGAGACACACCACACACTTCCAAATCATTGAATCGAGGGAATAGGAAAGAAAAGGAAAAGCATTCTCATAAAGACAACTTACGACATCTCCCTCGATTTCCAGGATTATTTGTTACCTTGAGGATTCTCTCCGTCAATGATAGGGAGGAGACGGAGAAAGAGAATCCAGTGTCACTCCTTCATGGTGAGGAGCGGCTGTGTGTCAGGTCTCTTCCCGAAGCTGCGAGTGGAGGAAGAAGTGACGAAGAGATGAGGAATGAGGTTAAAATGGAAAGGATTATATTTGGAATGGTTCTGGAGATGACGAAGGAATCCCATCTCCCATTCCCACTCCTCTCTTCGTTCGGGAGTGTCCATGAGAGATAGAAAGCTTCTTGGATGATTTCTTCCTTGGCAGTCAATGGTCAAGAATTCTTGGTTATAGACGGTAAAGGGAGGAATATCCTAGAGACAAGAATAACCAAACAAAATAAAAAATAAAAGACTAGAAAGATAAATAACCATAAGATTTCTATAAAATACTTTTCATATGAATACCCAAACAAAATAAATAATATTGGATGAGATTAGATGGTTGGGAGAAAGGAATGACCCAACCCATCCTCATCCATCCCCTTCCTTCTCCTCCGTCGTCTCCAGGTGATTACATGGGATGGAGATAATGACGGAGGAAACAGGAAGTAGAAAGTGAGATAAGGCATGATTTCTTCCTTGGCAGTCAATGGTCAAGAATTCTTGGTTATAGACGGTCGCCGGGAAGTAGGAAGGCGACAAAGCTAAGTCTCTTCCTATGTCTGCTCAAGGATTTCCCGAAGGTGGGCTGAGGGGTAAGGAATGAGTGTTCAAGGATGTGGTAGCTTTGTGGTTGAGTGCCAGGCCTGACATAGGAAGGACTGGGGAAGGTAAATAATAAATAATAAAAGACTAGAAAGATAAATGACCATAATATTTCTATAAAATGGAAAAAGACAAGGAACTATAACACAAACAAAATATAATTGAAAACCCGACAACAATCCAAATGTAAAGACTAAAAAGAAAGGGAATTACGAAAAGAAGAACAAAAGCTATTTCTCTATCCTCATATTTCCATCATTTTGCAATTACGAAAGGAACCTGTCTATCTCTTCATCAATTCTATTCTTCTTTGCTTTTATCTGTGTTTCTGGAGTTTTTTTTATTATTATGAACGAAGATATCATGAAATAAATAAAAAGAAAAGCCAAGGGAAGCGACAGATAAGAACCCAAGAAAGAAAGATATTATTGTAAGCAAAAAGACAGATAATGCTAATAAAAGATTTATCATCAACCACTTTATCTTTCCAGGTCATATTATTTTACTATATTATTTCATTCACTAGTTAAAAATTGTAATCATAAAGGCTTAGAATTATATTATTTATTATCTGGATTCATCTTTGGAATCTCCGGTGCAGTAATATCAGTCCTTATAAGAATAGAATTATATTCATCAGGAAGTAGGATTATATCTCCAGAAAACCAGAACTTCTATAATATAAGCATTACATTGCATGGCTTTCTTATGATCTTCTTTTTAGTAATGCCTGTCTTGTTTGGAGGATTTGGAAATTATTTTGTACCTATCTTTCAAGGATCTCCAGAAGTGGTATATCCTAGAGTCAATAATGTTTCTATCATAATTCTTTTACTTTCATACCTTTTCGTAATCCTTTCTTTAACCTCAGAATTTGGAGGTGGTACAGGATGGACATTATATCCACCATTATCCACTTCTTTTATGACTTTATCACCTTCAAGTACAGGAAATCTTCTATTAGGATGATAGAGGTTGCTTAGTAAAAGGCAGAAGTGCGGCAGAAGGCTCGCCGCGAAAGACATGTTTCTTGTTTCTTCCGGAGTATTGAGTGTTGGTGCGGGGGCCTGGAAGCGCCAAAGCAGAGGAGTGCCTTGCAGGCGAGCATGGCTTCTGTAAGTGTGAGTCGGTTTGACGAAGGGGGTCCCCGAGTAGCCTGGGCTCCGAAGCTCCGAAGCCTGGGCTTGTGACAGCGACGTTGCACAGGCCTGTGCCGCGTACCCTTCGGAACAAGGTGGTGGCTGATTGCATGGCTGGTCTTTGGATCCGAACCGCCTGGCATGTCTTGTCGAAATCGAGGCTGGCCCCACTGAGCCTTTTGTGTGTGCTCCCGTGCCACTGTGCCACCCCATTGTTTCACCTGGCTCAGCACCGTATCCTTGAATCAGTGATCAACACCTGCCAGCAGACATGCGCATTTGCAGCTGGAAGGTGCTAAAGGGAGAGCATCACAACTTGCATTTTCCTGAAGCTCACTCAGACTGATGTTGACACATACCCACATTTGGCCTTTGTGAATCAGTCTCCAACTCTCCTTAAACGGTTGCGTAGACTGGCTTGGCCTGGTCCGCAGCTCGCTTCTTGCAGAGCTGCAACTTGGGAAGTGCTCAAACACTGAGGTCCGCGACTTTGGAGGCCGAGAAATTCCAGGACGGCGGGGGGGGTGAGGGGGGCGGGGGGGGGAGGGGGCGGGAGGGGGGAGGGGGGGGTTGAGGGGAAGGGGGGGGGGAGGGGCGGTTGAGGGCCATTTTGTTTATGACGAAATGAATTTTGGCTGCGGGAGACTGGCGGCTGAAGTCATGCGCAACACGGGATCAAGGGCTGGCACTGATATGGCACTGATAAGCGGAGGGCCACTGCGCTTAATTCATCTTATTGGGCGTGATGCAATCCCAAGGCAGAGTCCCCTTTGGTTTACTTGGATTGGTTGGACGCGTCAATCCCCATGCCGTTAAATGCGTCTGGGATGGGTCTCTCGGGACATACCCACCTGCACATCTAGGCTTACGGAATCTCTTCGCTGGACTGTGAGCCCTATTGCAGGTTTGGAGTCTTCTTGGGTGCGATCAGAAACAATGCACTCTTACCACAGCCACACTTCTGTGTCCGCCTTGTGGTCTTTTTTGATAAGCATTTCGAAAGGACCCATTCTCATTAACTCTTATGTCTCTTTGGTGCTGCCATGATATTTTTTCTATTGTTGTGGTACCACTATGGTGCCTACCCACTTTCATGCTGATGATGCTGGCTGCTGCTGCTGCTGCTGCTGCTGCTGCTGCTGCTGCTGCTGCTGCTGCTTGTGCTGCTGCTGCTGCTGGTGCTGCTGCTGCTGCTGCTGATGGTGCTGCTGATGACAGACACCGTGCTAGTTTTGTCCATTAACCCCTGATTGGGGGTTTGGAGTGGTGGTCTGGAGATTTGCTTTGCTCCAACCACACACGTGCCATGGTCAAAGCTGACCCTGCCAAGTCCAGGAGTACTGGTCAGGTGCCCCCCTGCTGCGGATCCCTGGACGGATGTTCCCGGCCGCGCGGCGTGGAAGTGATTGGTCCTTTCACCGGGCTGTGGTGAGCCCTCGGAACAAATCTCTTTCCCTCCCCCAGAATAACATGGAAGCTCTCAGGTCCCTTTGATAAGACTTGGTTCCATTTGCAGAGGGGAGCTTCCATGTTAGTCTGAGGGAGTGTTCTGATTTCGGCGCCCTTCAAGCCTTTGATGGAGTGGTCCCCAGCCTGCAGTTTGCAGCATGGGAGCTCTCTGGTGCATGGTACTTCACGTGAGCTGACACTATCAATATTAACATTCTTTGTTTTGGGGTGGACATTGGGGCCTGCAGGGCCTACCGGAATTTCTCAGGACAAGAACTCGGGATCGGGAAGAAGTGCGCAATTTTCCCATGTCCCCTTTTCGATCGCGTCGAATCTTGTGGGCCACATATCGACCAAGCAGGCGGACCATGATTGGAAATTGGAAATAGGCATCCGCCCACTTTCTCCTCAAGGTATGCCCTTTCCTTGCCCCAAACAGCCGGTAGAAGGACTATGAATCACGCACCAAAAAAGACCGACAGCTGGTGAAGTGAAGAGAGCGGATGATGTCACTCCAATCATTCAGGGCGTTGAAGGATGTTACTCGACTATTTAGGCCTTCCAGGGCCAACCATGTACCGTATATACCTCATGTACCATGATTTGCGGCAGCTTGAAGTTGTCAGCCTCTGCATGCTTGAGCTTTTCAACACTTCAATTGCACTTTCGCACAAACCGGCATTGATTGGCTCCCCGCTAACTCACCAACAACACATTTGATTGTCAAAGTCATCTAGTTCAACCAGCAGAATCATGGACACGTAGCTTTGGAGGACCTGAAAACGCCTTCACTTTCTCCACTGTGACATTGCAGTTGTGTGCAACTTGCCCAGTGTTACAGAATCCTCCCACCAGCTGAGATGATTCCCACCAGCAGGCAAGATGATCTTCCAGGGGCCTTCTTTCGTCAGGTTTTATGTTGATAGCACAATCCTGCGTGCATGTCCCCACTCTTTTGAACCGATCCTGCTTTCCACACAATTCACACACCTCCGTGGATTTTGGGTGGTCTCCCAATTCAGAACCTTGACCAGAACCATGACCAATCTTTGAGATCAACCTTTGGACTGCCTACAGGGGACATCTACTGACCCGAGGTCGAAACCTTCTTCACCTTGCGGCCTGAGAAGGACTACCTGGCCGCCGAGACCTCGGCGAGAGAGGTGGGTTCCACTGGTTTAGATGAGTTTTACTCCATTTACCAATTGGACAAGACCGCCACATGTGGTGCACCAATCGCATGAGTTCGATCCTTGGAAACAAGGCATCCTCTAGTAGACCTTGAGAAGGGCAAGCACGTCACACCCCCGAAACGCCATCGGTGCCCTTTTTGGTGACACCAGGCCCCTGCCATTTGTGTTGGGGGAACATCTGCATGCTCCTCTTCTTTTCTGAGACCTGTGAGTCAAAACGCAACGGGACTGGCTCGCAGGCCAACAATTGGCCATGGGGCAAATCCAAATCGAACCCCCAGTGAACATCCAATCCCCACTCAAATAGGTTCTAAAATGGGTGGTGCACCTACCACAAAATGGTACCATTTGGTTTTGACCCACAGCCAATTGAAAGCGGGGCGAACATGAAAGCAGTCGACGGCCACCAGCTTGTGCACATGAGTTGGAGACAGCTCTTGAGACTTTGCTTGGAAGGTTGGAATGTGCTTAGCTGACGAATGCTGTTCCTGTTTTGAACACTTGACACATCTTCAATGGGGATTTCAAAGAGGTTGGAGAAGCTGAAGCTGGCAACATTGACCAGTCTCCGAGCCTGGATTTGAAGCTAGCATCCCTGGAGTCTCAGTTTGCTTTGTCAGTCAATGAGCTGTCAAATTGCTCTACCGCTATTGACTTGGATCTTTAGACTTTGACTTTTTGGATTCCCTTCATATGTCCTTTTAACCAGCAAAAAGGTAAACACTTTTTGCTGGGGGATCTACAGCACCCAAGAACCAGTCTCTGATTTTGACTCGTTTCACGCCCGGTCGCTGTTGTGGCCTCACACGCGAGGCAGCAGTGGAGACCTGCTGCCTCATCAATGCCCGGATGCTGAAGACACAGCTTCGCCGCTTCGCAACGGGTGGATGGGGTCAAGCTCGAACACACCCCAGCCAAAAGGGGTCTAACCATTTTTGAGACGCCAGAATGAAGCAGGGAGGCGCCTTTTTGAAAGGTTCCGGGACTACCACCTGAACGTGTGTCCTTCGTATTCCAGACAGGGTTGACAGAACCTCAACTGCTAGGACTCCCTGAACTTGGGGAGTTCTCTTTGGAGAGGCAAAAAACTCGTAGGCAAGGGAAGCCCACTGCTTTGCAGAACGGGTTGCTTCCCACAACTTCTTGTTGTTTGTGCAGGATACATCCCGCAAACAGAGTGGTCTTGGAAGTGTTTGGACGCAGGTTCTCACAGCGTGCCTGCATTTTCAGCCAGCACATGCCGGCGTGGTGGCTGGTGCACGGGCTTCTTGAAGCCAGTTGGTTTGATGCAGATCGTCCTTGGCGGATCCGCTGGATGCCCTGGGCAGTCAGCAGCAAATGAGATGAGCCAAGAGATCGATTTTCCTTGGGCGGCTCATACCCAAATGCGATCGTGCAGGTTTGTCTCTTGACTCGGTCAAAACGTTGGTGCCTTTTGCTTGGATGTTAGGACTTTAACTTTTTGCCAACTAATGTCGTTTCCATTAAACCACTAATAGTTAAGCTTTTAGCAGGGGAGCAGAAAGCAACCGAGAAAAGGCAGAGTCTGCGATCATACTGAATGTCGGAAGGGCTTGGCAACCCGAGCCACGCTTCGCAATTGAGCCCCGGAGCCAAATGATATTTGTGCAGCGACGGAAACCTCCCCGCATATTGCGGTATTGTTATTGCGGTTAGTTTTCCACAACCTGATAGATGGATATACTATTCATGGGTGACACTAATTGGTATTCACGGCGAATGACTTTCTACAAGGGCAAAAGTGCCACTGACTGACTGCATGTGTCTATTTTCAAGATAGGAGGTGCCAACATGTCAGGGACATGCGATTGTCTGCTGGCAGCTCCGAGGTACATGAGGGACCAGGTGATATTCTTTGCTTTCTTTGTGGGGAGGAGGAGATTGAAAAGGCCCGGGCCTGGTGTCGGGAATGACTCAGGGTCAGCAAGTAACTGCAGACAGCATGAGCATGCACACAGGTGAATGAGTCAAAGATCCCAACAGATCCCCAAATGTGCCTACTTTTAGAAGCCCAGGGCGGAAACAGTAAGCAATCATGCTGTGGTTGTTGAAGGGCATTGGCCCAAACATGAATAGAGCCATGAAGCACACTGCGTGCTCACATCAACTGCAGAAGTGGTCACTGAGGAACTTGGACGAATACAAGCCAAGTTGTACGCTCAAGCAACACATGATGCTGATGGCAGGTCAGAGAGAGAGAGAGAGGGCGCGAGAGACGATCGAGAGCCATCAAACACATCCTGTGACTGGTTCGATCTCAGAGGTCAGCTTGTGTTCACGTCTGATTCTGATTTTACCCCTGAGTTGTAGGGGCCGGGTGTTTAGCTGTGCCGGGCTGCAAGGGCGTAGGGGTGCGGGGGTGCAAGGGTTTCTCTTGTTTTGTTGTTCTTTGAAAAGCTCATCCACGCATGCCGCATGCCATTGCTGCTCGTTTGTTTCCGGAGCTGTCACGGTGAGTAAGGAGAAAGAGAAAGAGAACGAGACAAGAAGAGGGAGTCTGAGGAGAAGGAGAAGCGGGAAAGGAAGCACAATTGAAACTATTGTTGTTACATACATCTCTATCTCTCTATGATTGTAACTTTGTCTCCTTGGCTTTTCCGGCTTTACTGGTTGTAACGAATGTACGCTGCCTTTGCAGAGGTGTGTGTTTATGGGTCGGCCTCGTGTACGTGCTTTTGCTTGCACATTTGCGACTTTTCCTCGACCCCAAGTGACCCCTTGTATTTTGTGTGCTTTTGCGGCTGTGACCCACAACAGCAGGGTATGAATGATTGGGGTCCGTAGCACGCATGTTTTGCCCACCAATCTCTTCGGAACCACCCCTTTCCTTTCTGGCCCTTGTTAGCTTCAGGTATGAGTCTTCCAGAGATTGGTTGGACGTATCGTGAAAACGGCTCACGCCAGGCCTGTGCCGAGATTGAGGGGAGAGCGGAGGACCTTCCGAGGGCCGAGGGCAAACCGCGCGTCGAAGGGGCGCGCAGCAGGGTTCGCCTTTCAAAGCGCAGGCAACGCATCGAGAACTTCACTGAGGATCTGAAAGGTACAAAACATGCCTTGAGAGGGGATGATTTAATGATTTGACCGCTTTTTCACTGAATCCTCTCCCTCAGAATTGTTCAGTGGCATGCTGAAAGCCTTCCAATGAGCTGTTGTGGTGCTGGGCGGGTCATGGATCGCCTGCGCCAGGACTGTTCCGGAGCTTCCTACTGCGGAATCGTGCTCTCAACTCTTTTGCTGTTGAAGGGTTTCCTGTTCTGTGTTCGTGAGGTTACTGAATCCAATTAGCAGGCAGTTCCTGGATAGTCGCTTGGGGGCCTTTCTGCTTTCATGTTTGCTGTGTTGCGTGTGTGTAGGAATGCGACGGTGAGTATTCAGCAATGCTCACATGTCCTATAGGGCATACGGCCAAGCTTAACAGTTGGCCTATAATCGAAAGCATTGAAGCATTTCTAGGTGTTAAGCGCCGAAACCATCAAACATTCGCGGAGGTTGGCCAAACATATTGTTCACATTGCTTGTTTATCCAAGCCAACTTTTGATGTCAGTTTGACTCAGTTGGGAAAACACAATGAACATGTGTATTGATTGTCCATGTGAAAGACATACCTTTCGCCAGCAAACACCATGCATGTGTTTCAGGTGCTGTTGGTCACCATGTTTTGTCACCGCACAAGGAGACTGGCAAGAACACGCTCGCAGGGCTCTCAAGTGGGGCACGGTGGAGGGGCATCCGCAGAACACGCTCACAGCTTTTTCTGCGTGACAAGACGGGGCAAAGTGCATGGAATCGAGAGCAGCTGTTCCGGGATTGGCGGTTCGCAGGTTGTTTTCCAGTTGTGGGAATTCGTCGGCAATTCCAAACTTGGCAACAAGTGGCCGCTTTTGGTTTGTTTCCGGAATGCAATTCGGAGCTAGCTGGAAAAAGCACGATAGACGATTGCAGCCGCATCCAAGGTGAAATGGTCAATGTGACGTGACATGGGCCTGTCTGGGGAAACCAACCCGAGGGAAGCCAACCAGTAGGATTAGACCTCACAAGAGTTTGGTTGGTTTGGGACCCCGGCGTTGCGCCCAAAGTGTTTTTGATCGACAGGTTCTTCCATTGTACTCCTCTCTGCCGATGAATCAGCAGAGGCGCCGAGTTGTGAGAGCCAGTGAGCGACTCCTAGTCCTAGTCAGCCAGGCACTAATTTTGAAAATGGATCCCCTGAACTCTTCAAGAAGCTTTGCTTTTGCCTGTTCATTTTGTAACCGAGACTCTGGGGGTTGGAAGCCGGTCTTGATCAAAGAGTTGAGGTGAACTCTTTCTCACTGCCTTGGCCCATAACTTAATCACCCATGCTTACATCGGCACATGGAATGGCTCTCAACATGCATTTTCTGTTTCCGATTCGGGGCATTTGGTGTGTCTCAACATAGGAGTCCCTAGATAGGGACTTCCCTGATGGATGTATAGCTGGCTCTGATGTTCCGAGTCGCCCATGCCTTGACCCGTCCAGTGGTTGACCCTGCGGGTCTTATTTGGCAACCAGGGATTTGAGAAAGATTTCTAGCTACTTGGGACTCAGTTCCGGCAAACTTTAAGCGGGGAAGACTATTGAAACGTACCACGGGCCGCGGTCCTTTTTCAAGCAGCAATCGCAAATGTGCGTTCCCATGCATGAATATCAAAGCAACCACCTCCCGACAGCGCACCTCACGACCCAGTCCCAGCCACCCTTGGAGCGAACCCCGCATGCAGGAGTCTTCCAAAGCATTTGTGTACCAAGCCCATGCCTCTCGCTTCCCCCGACTGATTTGCATGGCAAGTGCTTGGCAGGCGGGTGTTTCCGCCTGCGCCAGAGGGCGCGCGGAAGATCATCGCCGGGCCCTCGGGGATCGATGTGCGGACACGAGTGACGGGATCGAGAGGGTCCAAGTCCGAGCCATGGGTCAGTTCTTTCATCCTGAGGGCTCCTTCAAAGAGACATGTTGCAACCATTTGAAACATGTTGCTTTTTCCACCAACATAAAGGGAGACCACCATCTACAAGGCAATGTTCAGGTGTATAATGCAAGGATCCCTGCTAAACCTACAGGATGACGATGGGAACGCAAAGGTAAGGGGGCCACACGAAGGCAAGTGCTTTTGGGATTTGGAGGGCGGATTGGGTTGGTTTGCTGGCTTGCTTGGCGTTGGTGTTTTTTGCATAAGTGATTTGATGTTTGAATTATTTGATGGCTTGATGATTTGGGGCTTTGATGCTTGGGCGGGTCAAGCGTTGCGCCACTAGTCCAACAATTCGAGCTCCTGGTCTGACTTCTGATTCAGCAGCGGCCGCCCCCCTCAACTTCCGGTACAGCAAGCACCGGTTGATGTTGGAATGACCTGAACGGGACCCCCATGTCCCCCCTCCCTTAAAGCCTTGGTAACTGGACCTTAGATGCATCCGGATCTCCCGAATTCAGGGAACGTCCAACTGCAGCGGATCGCCCAGGTGGCGACCAACATCGCCGAGACCTCTCTTACGATCGACGGCGTGGTCTTTGCAGCTGGCTCAGGTTCGGCCACAGGCGCAATCCCTTGCAAGAAACGGCAGAGGTGTACGGAGTGAAACCCTATATCTGTTTCACAGACATGTTTGACTTGAATCTTGATGCTCACTCTTTTCTAGGATATCCGCATGGCCAAACATGGCGCTTACCTTTGAGCAATGGACAGCATTCTGGGTGGTGTATTCTAAGTTTGCAGAGGGCACCCACCCGAACTTCCCATTAAACAATTTACGCATCTTTCTTTGGGGTACAAAGGACATCGTTTGTGGCTTACGTCTTTAAGAAAGGGTGCATTGAATGCAGCTTGAATAGCCACATTTGTTCACCCTTTTGCACAGGTTGTAGCCAACGATGCTGTAAATGCAAGGTGCGCAGGCACTGCGCCCCCACTCCCCCTCTTACTTGACTTTCCCCACCAAGTAGTTGGTGAACAACATTTGAGATCAGTTGGAGAACCGAATCCTAGCGCAAGTTGCTCAAACTACTTGGTCCAGAACACTTCGTACAACAACTGGCCATGTTTTGGTGCTGGAATCCTAGGATCGACATGGCCAAGCCGAGGGCTCCTGGGTTGTCCTGTTGCCCTTCTCCCCTCGCTTGAGTCATTGAGGTGGTGGACCCTGGGCTCTTCAAGCAGATGTCCGGCTCACAGTCTGGCAAGATGACCAGAGGACCCCCTTTTTTGGGGTTCTTTCTCTTCTAGGTCCTCCAGCTAGGTGCCAACTTTTACCGTTTCTTTTTTGGGGGAGGGTTCCCCTACTAAATGGACTACAGAAAAAAGGGTACCCTTATTCTAACCTCTCTGCTGGAGAACCTAGTCTTCATTTTCAGGAAAAAAGGATTGCAGCGTCATGCTCGAAAAGAATGTTCACAGCGCGGGACTCAGCGATTTTTCCAGGAGCTCATTCAATTCAGCGGATGGGGTTGCAGGGATGCATATCGATGTTTGCAAGGTTCTCTTTTTTGTTGACGATTTCCAAATACACCACCCCCTCCAGACACGCTGCTTAGAATCCCCCGCTTTTTGGATGTGCGCGGGCTGCAGCCGGTGCCAGTTGCATTTTCTTTGCAGCACATGCAACAGCCTTGTTCATGTTTGGCGGCGGAGATGGAACAATGATGCGAATCACGCAATGTGTATGTGAATATATATATATATATAATATGTATACGTCACATACACATACACATTGCAAGCTGCAATTGGATGTTCAAACCGTAAATCACACCGGATTCTAAGACCTGTTATCAGTGGCAGCCCTGATAGAGTGTCTCAGTTTCATACCCACTGGGATGCCCAACATCCCTTTTCTTGGTCGCCCAGGCCAGGAAATTCACGGCAGCCCCAAGAAACTGCTGTTTTCGGGGCCCCCTCGGCCATGAGGTCCCGATCTCCGGTCCGGTCCAGGTTACAGGGTGGACTGCACTTTGGCCTGGTCCCTTTTGCTGTGATTTTCTTCCCACAAGTTCTCCTCCCCTTCTGATTGGTGTCACAAAACCAAAAGATGTCTGATCGCTCCGGTCCGCTCCGGTCCGCTCCGGTCGCCGGTCCGCGGCGATCGAGGCTCTACAACCCCCGGACCCACGTGGAGTCGCTGCTGGTGTCCCCCATCTCCAAGGCCAGCGCCATGCAGAGGGCTCGGGCGGCCCAGCGAGCGGCCCCGGCGAAATTCGCCCCTGCGAAGCGGGCGGTTTTTGGGCGCAAAGGCGCCAGCCCCTTGCTTCAGGAATGTTGTGGATAGTTGTTTCTTGCTCTTCCCTTGCTGGTTTTAAAGGGAATCTAGCACTACTGGAAATAGTTTCTGTTTTTTCCAGGGGGCTGAAGCAAATGGAAGTGCCAAGATGTGGCTGTTGCTCAAACATGGGGTAACCCCTAAATGGCTTGCCCGGGTAAATGGAACCAGAGACTCAAACATGCGGTCCAATTCCTGGAGGTTGAATTTTGAGCCATGTGGGCATGAATTCTATTTAGGGACCCTTTGGTGGACTTTCTACTTAGGGGATTTCTGTCCACCAATCACTTTACAGGGAGTTCCCGAGCCATGTGGGCATGAATTCTATTTAGGGACCCTTTGGTGGACTTTCTACTTAGGGGATTTCTGTCCACCAATCACTTTACAGGGAGTTCCCGGTTAAAATTCAGTGCCAGACGTGTGTTCGAGAAGCCAAAAGCGGAACTCCTTCTTGTTTGTACTGATGTGTGACGTTTAAGAGGCTTCGAATAGTTCAGGAAGCCGACACTTTGTGCGGCGCAAGCGGATCTTGCTTGTCGTAGTCCTAGTTGTAACAAAAACCATCAACTGCCAAATTATTTGGTTTTGAATTGGGGAGCATAATTTGAGTTTTGTTTGGTTTGGTTTTGCTGGCGCTTCCTGCCGAGAGGATTTGAGTTCTCGTTTGGTTTAGTACTGCTGGATTTGTGATTCCATATGATTTTGTATTGCTGAGTTTGAGCTCTCATTTGATTGGTATTGCTCGGTTTCAGTTTCCATTTGAATTTCAGAATGTCTGTGTGTGTGTTGTTAGTGCGGGGGGGGGGGGGTGCAACAAATCATGATCGAGGAGGGCCGCCTAAATATGTTGTTTGCCACGTTCAAGTAGCCCTGGGATTGTGGGATTGATTAGGGCTAGGGTTTACATGCAATTATCTAGGTAGATACATTGGAGTTTGGGAGTTGATGAGTACATCTCGCAAACTGTAGTCTTGACTCCCATGCACAAAGTTGTTTTTGGAGTTTGTGGTTTCAATATTCAATGCGGTTTGTTGTGTTCGTCCTTTTAGGGAAACATTATCATTTGATGGGAGTTTAATACTTATAAACTGGGCACTACCCTAAAGTTGCGGATCGGCTTGTTGGAAGTTTTAGAAACGCACCCCAACAAAAACCGAACCTTTTCCGGCCGCCCAATTAGCAAGTTGTTTGATTTCTCTAAAGGAAGCTACAAGAGGCTGGATGATTCTGAAAAACTGTTGCCCATGCAGGCCCCTTTTTGGCTTCGGGGAGGTTCCCAAGGGTCCTTTGGCCGATTCGCTTTGGCCGTTTTTTGCCTATCACTGTGAAGACCTGCCAGCTTGGCTCTACACGAAGACCCTTGGGCAAATCAGAGAAGCAAACCCAAGGAAAGCTAAAGGGACGCTTAGGACAACCGCCAGGAAGGCCAATCGCCTGGTTGCCCTTTTGGTTGGATCCAAGCTTGTCAGATGACAAGAACAATGGATGTGTTTTGTGAGGAGTCAGGGAAACGGATACAGCGGCTTGACTTGCCAAAAAGTCCAAAGCCTCTCCACCGTGGTCCGAGAGTCTTCAGCAACGGCCTTGGCATTCTCCTCGCTTGGTCAGAGACGGCCTGTTGACCTTTTGCTTTCCCGTTAAAAAAGTCGATCCACTTTTGGTCGCGGCCCCTGGGCCCATCAGTGCTATGCTTCTTTTTCGCCTATGGAACCTATCATCCCCTATCATGGCTGGTGCGCACGATGTAGTCATCGTGGGGCGCGGTGCGCGGCCTGGTGGCGTTGCGCGGCCTCTGCCGCCTTGGCTTGGACGACGTGCTGCTCGCGCCGCGCACTCGCGACCTGGCTGAGGGTAGCCCTACGCCGTCCTGGGGATTCGTTTGATCTTTTTGGACTGAGTCTCCGAGGTTGCCGCCTTGAGTGTGGCCAGTTCCAAGCAGAGGTCTTTGCAGGAGTGGTCCAATTTGAGACAGTCAAGGGGCAGCATCTCTACTTCCCGCTTTGATAATGGATTATCTTGGATCACAAGAAGGCCGATTCAAAGAACTCAGCTTTCGAAAACACGAACCCAAAGAGTATTCGTAACAGCCATTCCCGAGCCTCGCTTCTGACAAAGGATGAAGGCTCCGTATCCGCAATGTGCTCAGGTCTTGCTTGCCGCATTTTCACCCTGGAGGATGAGCGAGGCCACTATGATCCACTATGCTACTATCGGTCCTATGACCCGCTATGATCCGCTATGATCCACTATGACACTATGACTCCCATGACGCTATGACACTCGGTGCCGCAGGGTTCAACAGGTACATGGGTGTGTCTTTGGGTTGCTTCAAAGGGAAAGCTGGGGTCACTCCTAGGCCGCAGCGTCTACTGGAGCCCCAAGACACGCACACACAGAAGAAGCACTAGACCAAGTGCTGCTAGTTCAGCAGTGCGTTCCTTGCGGTCAGGATATCATTGCCAGCTGCTTTGCCAGCATCCCAATATTAGAGACATGTTCTGCAACAGAAGCCCCGCAATTATGTCTCTCACAGAGATCCCTTGTTTGGGATTGAGTTATGATTTGCCTAAATGCTTGCTGACTCATATCCAACAATACCCCACGCGGTTCAACTTTTGGGCTGGGGACTCCCCCTGCAGGCTGAGATGGAACTCCGAAAAGTCCTTCATTTGTCAAGGACCTATTTGTGGGGCCAACTCCCAAATTCAAGAAAGGGCCTAGACATGTCCAGGGAGAGTGCACATCCCAAACTTGGCCTCTATGTTGCTTGAGCCTCGTAATGCCAGGTATGTGCTTTCATGTTCAACCCCAAGGATTGTGATGGCAGAGGAGCAACTGACAAATCACTGGCAGTCCATTGTTGGTTTAGGGAGCACCCAATTTCACACTTAACCAGGCGGCCCAAATTTGCAAAGTTATTTCGGTGAGCACTAATACAGTCCGCTCATTCCTATGGAGGTTAAGTTGGGGTCTCATTTTTTGTTGGTATGTTTTCGAGAAGAACCGTTTTCGGATTGTCAAACATGGCGGGGGCATTCCCCGATTGGAGACAAACTCAATGGTGACGAACACAACATAACGCAAGCACAGCTGCGATGCAAGCACAAGCAGGTTGCGCGCAACATCTCAAGAGGATATAGCTGCTTGTTTGAACTTGTAGCGACGTGCGCTTGAACTGCTTTCGGTTTCCTGGAGTTTCTTCGGCAGAGGTGTGACTATGTCTAGAGTTCTCGAAGTGGCTGATGGAGTTGGGTCAGACAGGGGAACATGTAGCGCATGCCTTCTCCCGATTATCAACAGAGTACCCAGATTCGCTGTGCACAAGTCTAAAAATGGGGACCCCCATTACGGCTGAAGGTAGCAGAGAACGAAGGGGTCCAGCATTGTCTGAATGGTTTTGTGTTTCTTGACATAGAGAACCCCAAAGATGTTTGCCTTAATTTCCCATCCAAGAAGGGGGTTTCCAAAGTTGAAACGTGCTCGTGTGGACAGCTTCTGGTTCGAATGCACCTGAGGTCTTGCCCGTCTGCCCGCGTCTGGCCCCGTCAGATTCTGTCAGCTATCACCTTGATAGCGGCCTCTTGGTGAGATGCAGCCGTTGATGCGGGTTTGTCTCAACATGGGGGAGCGAGGAGCAGCGACCAAATCAATTCCTTTTCAGAGTGGGAAGCAATGGTTCCATATTCATTGGTTTGGGGTTCCGCTATGTTGAACAACTTTGTTGTACCACCATGCGAGGCACTGACCATATGTTTGGTAGCCTTTGGTGAATTTGGGGAGAAAAAGAAGCGGGGACTGTCAAAGCCTTTCGTTCCTGCTTGCCTTTCCAAGTGCATGTTCTGAATGAACAAAGTGTCAAAGCGTCTTTCAATCTTTCAGGCTTAGATTCTGGCCTCCAACTGGAGTTGTTCCTACTTCCGCCCGCTTGTCTGCGCAGCTGGGGCCCTTCAGCGACTTGATCTCAGCTGCTTTGCATCCAGCGTTGCCGCTGACGGTCCCAAGGCTCCGGAGCCCTGGTCACAGCTCTTCAACGCCAAGTCCCAGAGAAGATCCTCCGCAGCGAGCGGGTACCAAACTTACGGAGAAGGACCGGGATCCTTTGGAATTTGTTCGCGGCTGGTGAGAAGCAGATGACAACCTGTGCGGGCTGTGAGACACTAGGCCGACGTTGCCGAGCCGAGTTTATGTATCTTCATTCAGAGAAACAGAGAAGGAGGGACTGGGAACGGCAGAGATAGGGAAGGTTTTGGAGGCACGTGAATACGACTCCCCAACCATTGCAAGAATTCGCTTAGGGCCGTTTGAATCCACCCAGTGGGCTCGAGTGATCCGGCTTCACCAACCTTTGCCGCTTTGGGTTGCTAGGCTCTTTGTCGCTTTGGCCACTTGGGCTGATCAATCCTCCAGGCACTCCTCCACATGCCAAATCAAGTCTGCATGAAATCCGTGCTGAGTTCCCGCCTTGCTGATGCGGGCTGTGTCCTTGCTTCAGACTTCAGACTCACTCCCAAGGCGTTTGTGAGATATTCTTACAAACTCCACCTTGCTTTCCGGCGTCATTCTTCCTTCCTGGCATTCATTCATGTTTGTTTCTCATGCGGCTCTTCGTGGGGGGGGGCGCTCATTGGCAGCTGGATCCCCATTTCTCAGATGACAAGACGCATTCAATGCAATATTCGCTAGAATCCGAATCATGTGTTTTGGTATAGAAAGTGCAGGAAGCCCCGGCTCGAGGGGCTGGGGATGTTTGCTTAGAATGTTGACGCACCTCATTGGCAACTACTTTCCAACAGCCGGAGGCTCCAAGCTTAAATTTTAAGTTAGGCTTAAAACAGGGGGGGGCCTCAGGAAGAGTTGCAAGTCCTTCAGTGCAGCTTTGCAACTTGAAAGTTCTGGTTTGACAC